ATGCTTGGGATTCACGGCTGGCACCCAGCCAAGATCCTGTGGTTTTGGTGCTGAGTTGCTTAGTCACTGCAGGGGTGACTGATTAGGGGGTTCCCCCTGGTCTGGCAATGGGAGGCCTTGCTTGGGAAAATTACATGGGAGGAGTTGGGATGAAGTATGGTAAGCCTTGCACTCATGATTCAGCAGCAAACAACGCTTGTACATGTACACTGGCTTCTGATCTAGATTTGATACTAACAAACTAACAATATGCAAACAAGCTGTTTCAATTCCGAGCACAACAGTTTTTGAGCATTTCCAATGTTTGTTTCCTGTTCCTGAAATGACAATACAAATGAAAATCCAGCGGCTAATCATTGCCGGTAACACGTACTAAGAGTACCCCGTGTTAGCAAGCAGTTAGCCAATACAGGGGGATCTGTGAACATGTGCAGGTACATGTACACATTAGAGCTTGCCCTGCCAATTCAACTGTGAAGCTCCTACCTCACTGATGTTAGTAACAACTTCTCACTTATCATAGACAAAGATGGAAGGAAAAAGCAAAAGCAATTTAGATGTTTTGAAATAAAACCGTTTCAAAACATTCAGAATGGTAAAGAGGGCCACAAACTACAAGTTCAATTTATTTCAGAGGGGCAATTTAGAGCAAGTACACTATTACACAATACGTTGGTAGAATTCGCTTGAGCCCTTTTTGAAAACACTACCTTTAGTTTTAGGTGCAAAATTTGTTTGACCACCTGTAACATATCTGTATCCCAAGGGAATCCCGGCACATGTACCAAGGCAGTCAAATCTCACATGCCACATTCTGAACTACCCCACCGTACACAGAGTCTCGTGACAGGTGAAAGTACACTGGTTGTACACTTCTGACTGCACCAAACTGGTTTCTGTCCGCCAGTTGAGAGGAAGAAATTTCAGACCGAACATTAACTGCTTAGCATATGAGCAGAGGACAGACCTCAGTGAATACACAGAGCATGGTACAATGGCTGGTACACGTGACTCCTTTTTTGCTGAGCATACTAAGCACATTTATGTACGTCTTGGTCAGCACTATTAAACTGCTCGCAGTAAGAGTAAGCAAGAGTCCTCCGTCTTTTTCTGACCAAAACTCATAACCTCAAACAAAAGCCGAGCGAAACAAATACTCAACTCAATGTGTTGAAAGATATTTGAGAAATTTAGTTGCTTTCAAGCAGTTACGCCTTGATACACCACTAATTAAAAACAAGACGTATCTGTGAGCTGTGCTTCCATGTACATGTAGGGCCATCAATGTTTTGGCAGTGAGACAGTTTCTACAGTACGGTACTCAGACTGTGAATATCATGCTACAGGTGTAATGTCTGCCATGTACACATGTACATGTAGTGCTAATATTGTACCCGTACATGTACAAACTGCCCCAAAATGCCCTTTTCAACCTGAACATGAACTCCTTTTCCTCTATGAAGGCAGTGTAGACATGCACGAACATTGTACATGTACAACACAGCAGGCAGACCGTACACTGTGCAATGTAAGAGGCACCATTATAGTCAGGTTCATACTCTGATAACCATGCTTCAGCGCACAGCTTACATGACTACAAAGTTCTACAGTACACTCACCTGTGTTAATAATAAGTCAGGTTACATAATAGCATTAGAAGGGCTGTAACTTTAAATAACCCTGCACTGGACCATGAAATAAGGCGCTGGCCAGCGGTAACCTTCAGGAGAAAGCTGTCAGCCCTGAAAGGTGCATGCTAGAGGTCATGGAAGTGCTCAAGTTTTGGGTTTAATGACAGGGTGCACCCTCGTATTTAGGCCAGAAATATGTCCGCCGAGCTCATTAATAAAAGTTATACACTCAAAATATTCTATATTAGAGGGTCCTGAGAGCCATGGAACTGAGGAATTGAAGACTGGACCTCTGGGCCGGACTCAGGGCTTCCAATTCTGAGCAATTTGGATGCAATCGGGTCCGAAACTGGTACTATTTAAGCCATTTTGCAGAGGGATGGTTGTTCAAAATGACTACTTTTCTGGACAGAAATTTCTGGTCATTGTGACTTTGTATTCACGAGTAGGAATGAGGCCATTTAACAATTTTAGGATTTTTTCCATCCAAAAAGATCCTCCAGGAATCAGAAAAAGAAAATGTAATACTCTTTAATTAAACGATGGATCTTTTTGTACATAATGCGAGTTTAACCTGGGGTCAAACTCTTGAAGTTGCTGATCTCAAACAAAAATTGGTCAGTGCAGAAAATGGTATACAACCAGGGTTTATAAGTACATGTACCAGTACCCACTGGACTGGTGGACCAAACCTGTGATTTTAATGCCGGTCTTGCAACATCGATAAAAGTACACACGTGCTAGCCCCCGAAGTCGAGTGCTTGTACTAACACATTCGTCTTGAATGTATACTTGTACTTGTAAACATGTATTGCATCTACATGTATGTACATGTACTTAACTTACCAGACAGTAGAGTGTGCACATTTCCAAACCAGTTGGTTTATAATCTCTTTTGTAACATTTGATGCTGGTCTTGTTTGTAACATGCTCCAGTCAGGTAAATTTTATGAGGTACTGACTCTGGGGTGGGGGGGGGGGAGGATTTTGTTTGTAAATGAAATGCGACCTCTGTTAGACTACAATCCCTCCCTGATCACTCCGGACTGGTTCGCACCAAGTTAATGCTCAGCAAGGGTATTTGTGGAGCAACATTTTCTACTTGGCAGTTCAGAGAAATTGGGCAATGTGACATCAGCGACAGACGCAGTTCGTAACCACCAATCTCCCTCCAGGAAAAGCTGGATTTGAACTGGTGCACTCTGTGCAAAGCCTCAGTGGCTGATGGTACATGGTTGGCCATGTTGACTGCAAGGATTCGGAAGCAGAAACCCTTCACCGTAACAGGTGCCAACAGCATAAAAAAGAAATCTACATTGTAGGTGCATATGGCAAACTCATAAGTTATTTCAACTGCACAACAACAGTCTGTTTCACTGCAATGCTTACTAATTCCTGAGCCTAAAACCCCTTGAACAAATGAAGAATGAAGTGGTGCAAACAGCATGAAGGCAGCCTAAAACTAAAACTTTGCCTTGCACTACTGCCCAATAGCATGAAGGCAGCCTAAAACTAAAACTTTGCCTTGCACTACTGCCCAATAGCATGAAGGCAGCCTAAAACTAAAACTTAGCCTTCCGCTACTGCCCAATACATGTAGCATGAAGGCAGCCTAAAACTAAAACTTTGCCTTGCGCTACTGCCCAATAGCATGAAGGCAGCCTAAAACTAAAACTTTGCCTTGCGCTACTGCCCAATAGCATGAAGGCAGCCTAAAACTAAAACTTTGCCTTGCACTACTGCCCAGTAGCATGAAGGCAGCCTTAAACTAAAACTTAGCCTTCCGCTACTGCCTAATAGCATGAAGGCAGCCTAAAACTAAAACTTTGCCTTGCGCTACTGCCAAATAGCATGCTTGACCTTCCATTTCCAAAGATGTATTGGTGTTGAAGAGATGTCAATTTTTTTTTAAAACAGGTTTTGCCTTTACACCGAAGTCTACAGTCATAACCCTTTATGTTCAGTTATATAGTCTAAAAATTTTGTGAAAAGATTCACAGGCTTCCTTAGGTGGGACTCGAACCCACAACCTCCTCCTTATTAATGCAGACGTCCTAACCCCTCGACCACCAAGCTTGCAGGAGTCAGCTGGCTGGTCCGAGTCAGATGTACGTGTAACAGCAAGTATGGCAAACTATTTCCAGCCCTATAACGTGGCTCATGTACTAGACTACCGGTACCTCGCATAGTAAGCCCCATGATACCATTCGCTTTATGCGTGGAGAGTCCCTCTTGCTAAGGGCCCCCGAAATTGAGATTGCAAAGTTTTTCAAAGTCATTTATTTATTATTGTCTGTACCTTTGGCCCTCTAATTATCTTGAAATTTCAAAGCAAGTGCCGGGCAAAGTCGCCCAAAAATTTCCGTGGTGGCTGCCTTACTGTGCTGTGGGTCAAGCACAGTACATGCACAAAGGTCTTAAATGCACCTACGGCTGTTGCGTGTCATTGTTGCATTTATTGATGGGATCTCAACAAAGCATAAAGTGCGTTGTTACAGAAAAGATTACAACAGTCGTCACAGAGTGCATGAACAATAACACAGCAGAATATGGAAGCCATCTAGTTTTCAAGCGACACTGCTCCAAATTTACTTCGAAATTTGAAGGCAACTAGAGGGCCGAAGGTACCCGAAAAAATGTTAGGGGGCTGGTAACATTGTCAATATACTAGTAGGCCTATGCCGTGGTGAATGCTAAGCTTGGAAAAAATTCCCAGTCTCATTTTCGGAGGCTTTTAGCAACGCAACAGGGATTCTCCAAACATAAAGCAAATGGTATCCTATGGCTCATTACACAGAGATTTATTAAACATGTACATGCAGTCCAGTATACGAGCCCAAAAATTATGGGGCTAGTTGAGGTGGTGTCAATTTTTAAACAAGTTTTCTTTTGTTGTTTCCCAAGCTCTTGAACACTGAGCAGACAGCATTATGAATACATGTTGGCCAAGGGCAGCGCAAAACCCTTTAAAAACCATTTAAAATGCAGTCATGCAAAGATATTGATAGGCCTAGGCTATGTACCTACCGGTATGAAGCAAGAAAGCAAATGTGACAGAATTTATCAGCAAGTTGGGCAACAGGATACAGACAAGGGTGGCACGAGAAAAGTCCAGTAAAATGACTCCATAACCATGGTAAAAGGTGCATACATGTACATGTACTACTGAGTACTGGCACGTGGTTGAATGACAGCAGGCTGTCGAGTTGGTGGCAGCACACACAATGGTATGCGCCAGTACCAGGCCGAACCCAACATGCCCAACAGGCCTAGGCCTACGTGCATGTAGATGTTTTGAAGTACATGTACATAAAATTACGTGATAGACGTCTTGTTTCTTGTTTTTACATTGACAAATACTCTGCTTACCAAAATCTTCGTCACTTTTCTAGAATCTTCCTCAGTTGCCTTTCGCGCGTTGAGCGTTCCATGACCGAAGCACCGTGCGACAACAGCGAACATGGCCCGCTGAAAATTCGAAAACGCCGGTACTCGGTGTTGCGTTGTGTCGCTGAAGCAAAAAAGCTCCCTCGCACGTGGATCTGCAGAAAACCGGTGAAGGTCCTATCCCTCGGAATTCTTTCACCTCTAGCACTACGCCTGATGAACTTGGCACGCCGCCATTCTCTTTTGGGGCGCTGTCCTGCCAAAAGAGTTTGCAAAAAACCCGGGCATTTCAGCTGGATTCGAACTGTTTCTTGTCAAAAAGATGAATAAAAATGGTCGATTTGACCCCTGTGCAGTCTAGACGAAGCTCAGACGACAGCGGCTGTTAAGAATTTCACCAAAAGGGGGACAATACACTCTCATGTTTTGTATCAAAAAAATTTAAATTCTTACTAATTTTGCCAATGATTATTAACATACAATATTATTTTAACAAAAAAAATGATTACGTGTTATCACTCACTGTCGTATTAGGTGTAAATTAATTAACATTGTGCCAGACTTTTCAAATTCTCCTAACCCTCTCGCCTCTGGCCGCTCTTTTGAAAAGTCTTGTCTGCAGGTCGAGTTTGATTTGGGCGCTACCATTAATTATGGGGTGGAAAATTATGATTTACTTCTGGGGAGGGGGAAATTGTTTCATTTGACAGTTTGTCATTTTCGAGCAAACACATGCAGCCAAAAATAATTATTCTCTGCAACATGTCGTGGATAGAAAATGTACAAATAGTGTCTCGACAGATAGGAAGCCAAGCTAGTAGGAAATAATTTTGATCGTTAGCGCATTTTTATTTAAATTCTATCAAGTATTCCTACAACTTTTCCACCTTATCAAAACTTCAAATGGATGTCCCTAAGAGTACAATAGATGGTCCGACCCGTAGGGTGCATTTTTTTATCTTTTTCTCTCCTGCCAATCAACCTAACACCTGCTTGTGGGGTAGCAAGCGCAACCTGCTGAGACAAAAGATTAACAAGGGTTTTTGAGCTTGGTTGAAACCGTGAATTAGGGTTTAACCACCTCAGAAAAAAACTGTTGACGCGCTGAATTGAATAGTCATTTTGGAGTTGTGGCTGTGTTCCTAGCAGTACTTATCACAGGTTTCTAATTTTATTGTTTTGGTGGTTAGTAAGACCACAGATCCACAGATGGACATTAATATCCACATCCAGTTTTTGAAGAGATTTGTATTGATAGTGCAAGCACAGGACAAGCGTACGATAGAGGAAAGGTGGCATATGCAGTTACGCTGACAACTAGTGACAAATTAGCTCTGCACTTGACTATATCCTGAATAAAATGGTCAAAAACCAACATGTGTAAAGTAGTTTACATGTAGTTCGAGCCAAATACGAGTAAATATTTGCAGTACATGTATTTAACGGGTTTATGACAAAGCTTGCGCAAGATTCCTCACCCTTCGTTTTCAAAATGTACCATTTAGGCCTAGATCACTGCCATTTCCTCATTAATGTCACCACGTTAATGACTCTGCACACAGGATAGAAGGGAAAAAAGATTCGGTGCGAGTCGACAGTTTCTTCGAGGCGTTCGTCTCCCAGGAGACATAATTAGTCTAAATCTTATCTAAATATCATGAGCATCAAGTTTGTGCCAATCACTGTGGTCAGTATCTGATGAATTTTAGTCACATGGCAAACATACAAAACACCTGAAGTTTTCGAACAGTGGTTCCGTCGTGAAGCGGTGATGGGATTTTTCAATTCCTGTATCAGTCGGTAAATATGTTTACCTTTCTTGTTAAGGTAGTCAGTAGTGACGTCACTAGAATGGATAAGCGGTCATCGGTGTTTTATATATAGTTATACAAGACGTCACTCGGCGATGTGGAGGAACACATTTTATTGGAAAGTTTCTTCAACACATTTCATTTAATGTTTTTTTCGACGAATCGACCCTGATCTACTTTTGTTGTTGATAATCCTGGAAATTGAAGGTTATCTCGGCTGTAATAGAAATTCACGGAGCAGGGAAAAATTCCTGCTTCATGTGAGAATAACATGGGCTGGTTCTTTTTATTTGTCTGTGGGTTTTCGGTCAGTCCCGAATGTTATGTCTGTTTTAATCTGTCTGTCCCATCTTGTCTGACTCCTTGCGCCATACTCTGCCCCGATGTATGAAGTGCAGTTTCGTTTTGGAACTGAGACAAAGGAAAGGGAAACTCCAAAAAGGCCCGTGCAATTTTTCTTTTCCCCCATTTGAGAATCATTAAAATGAATTGGGCCACACTCAACTAGTGTTTCCAATACGTGTTCTCCATTTCCCCTCTGGTTTGAAGATGCCATGCTCGCCCTTTGTTTGTGGTATGAATACACCGCTACAGCAGTTAATGTCAACTGTGCCACTTGGTTCAGCGTGACCGAATCGTGACGTGAACATTGTGCGCTTGAACCCAAATGAGCCGAATGAAAAATGGATGAGAGAAAATTGACAAAGAGACATTTTGAAGAGGCCTTTGGAGGTTAGCGAAGTTTTAGGTCCGCTGTGATGATTCGGATGTTTTTCTTTTTAAACTGATTGCCACTTTAAGAATTTGCTTTTTTTGCCTTTTAGTGAATATTCACGAGAAACAATGCGTCTAACAAAAGGCTCCTTGTAGTTAGTCGTTATCACCAGGCCACCGTTGTCGACAACATTACGATGTAGGCCTACCAGTTCAATTTCACAACATGCAATATTAAGTAGTCATCCATGATTCATTAGCCGTATAATGCTTCTGTGTGGAACATTCGTTCAGTGGACTGCGCTTTCGTCAAACGGGTATGTGCTTGATTTATGTTTTTACTGCCTTGATTAAGGTAGTGACGTCATATTGCCAGTGCCAATAAACCTTTTGCGAGTTAAATTTTAATAAAATCTGATACACTGAGTTCTTTAACATAAATTTAACATAAACATAATTAGAGTTCTCCATACTAACCCCCCCCCCGTTGCTATACCTCGTGATTTGGGGCAAGTTTTTGCTTAGTTACATAAGAGACGCCTTGCAACAATACACTGTTTTCAAGGGATAAGAAGGGTACAAAGGAACCAGTCCATTTCATAGATGATGGTCGCAATGCCAGGCCCGTAGGCTGGGGGAGGGTTCGAACGAACCCCCCCCCGCTCGCCTCTGAGTTCCGCTTGTTGGTGATCTTTGTGTGTGTATGTACTGAATATTCAAATATACCGTATTCGACATACAAGCCACGGCTTAATCTGCATATTAATGAGTCAATCTCCAGTCATATGTACCGTCAGAAGGTTCCGGCAAATGTCCATATTTCAGGTGTTTCCAACGGTTTGAAATCAATGTATTTTTGTTAAGTTTATTCGATATTGAAAACTACAGTGTACAAGTCTTACATGCAACCTTTGGTTCGCGACAGACATGCAACTTTTCAATGTTGTTTTCCAAAGCACATTGTGATAGGCCTTTGTATAAAAAAATGTGCTCACAGTGCCAAAAGTTCCACTTTTTGGTTTGACGACCCCCCCCCCCAGTTTCTGGTCAGGCAACGGGCCTGTATGCAAAAGCTTGCCCCGAATCACGAGGTATAGCAACAGTGTCTTTAGTCTGGGAAATTCAAATTATTGTGTTCATGTGGAATCAGATAACTCAGTGTACCAGATTTAATTCAAATTTAACTTGCAAATGGCTTATTCTCAAGACAGTGAACGGAGAGAGGTTGTTTTCTTTTGATTTTTGCCAATTAATTTGGTGATTCACTAACGCTTTTAAGTTCTCGGTAACGTTTAATTTACCAGAGGTGAAAAGATCAGTATTTTCTTCTGGGAAATAAACAGACTGTGCATAGGGCCTAAAGTTTTTTTTTTAATGCCAAAATGAATAAATATGTGATCAAGCTGTGAATACGAAACTAGCTTTGCTACTCTTTAAGTTCGTGTCTTTTCAATTTGTAGTACTTTACTGTTTCTCCTATTTTAGAGCCCGCTTTCAAAAATTTCATTTCGTAATTTTCTACAACGAAAGTATTGGTTAAAAATACGCAGAGATGTTGTTGTAGTCCTTTTCTTATCGGTAGCTCTACATTTTTGTCATGTATGGGTATTTATTGTCTACGCGTGGCACTCTAAGTCTTCGTCGTGCAAAAACGAAGAAACGGATTAACTTCCACTTTTAACAATCAGCATGCGGTTTTCACATCGCGTATCTTCGCACAACAGCCCAAAGGTTACCGCTATTTACGTCATGTCCATGTCGAATTATTATGGGGTAAGGCCAACCCAGAGAGGGAGACAGACTAAAGGAGACATCGTCGCCTAATTCTTCCCCCACATCTCCAAATCACGGCACTCTGCAAAATCTACTCCGTATAGTCGGCAGCACGGCTTTCAAGCGCCTTCACATTTAAGTCTAAAATTTGAGCTTTCAAAGTTGTGTTTTCATTCTTAGAGGGCGCTGTTCATAAGAAACATCATAACTCCTGAAACAATGTCTTGGGTGGGAGTAGCCATTAGATCACAGAAATGATTCAAAAAAGGTAAATGAAGTTAATAATGAAGTTAAATTTATATGAAGCTAATAATTATATGAAGCTAATAATATAACTCCATAACAATATAATATAACTCACTTCACAATAGGACGTCATGTAAGTAAGGGCTTAGTAGGCCTACATCTTTTTGCACTAACACCGATTCTGAAACTGAACTGTTTTATAAGAGTTCTACGCCGTCGAGAGAAATGTATCAAATAGTTTGTAACTGGAAATCCTTGGGGGGTGGGGCACTATCAGGAAAACAGCAAAGATTCGTCTTGGCTAGACGTGGTCACCCATCTGTGCAATCTGCATTGTTTGCTGCATTTTTGCAGTTGAATGCCGACCAAGCTAGAATGGGGCTGAAACTCTTAACAATTTCAGGAATTCTGTCTCGGCACTAACGCAACCCTAAACCAAATAGGAAGTCATGGCCGCAACTCATCTGCCACATAATTATGACATCCGCAAACCATGTTGTTGCTGAACACGAAGACGGCCTTGATCTTGTCAGGCGCTGGTTGACGGATTAATGAAGAGCGTGTTTTGCGACTTTGAGAAGAGTGTGGTCCATCATAATTCTTTGAAATTCTACTTTACCTTGATCCCCATGATCCAAACCGGATAATAATTATTACAAATGTTAAGTAAAAGGCGCTTTTGTTTCGCAAGTATGCTATCTCCTTTCTCCCA